TGGTAGTTTGATTTCTATGCTTCGCGTCATCCATGTTTTGGTTAGTGGCTGTGAGATGTTTCTGACCAAACCTTTGGCACGAGCCTGACCCAAGGGGTTCATGGTGAGCGCTCTCAGAGCGCACTGACCCTACGGTCTCATAGCCGCCGCCTTAGACAGTTGCCAAAGTGGTTCAGCTTTCTAATATCCCTCAAGCTCGTAGTGGCCACAACTAAGAGGAATGTGGTGGTATCGTCTGAGAGGTGAGAAACCTGGAAGTTGGCACTGAAGGACTAAAGAAAGCTGAAAGCACTTTAGAATGAGATGGCAGGACTAGGAGAGTTGACGCTGGTAGAGGGGGAGTTGTGGGGTGAACACGGGTCTTTCCAAGTCAGCTATTTTAAGGGTTATAGTTACTTAGTGTCCCCACCCTCAGCCACTCCTAAGCAGGCTCGACTCTACTGTCTAGGGTAGAAGTTTACTGAAGGCCCTTGGGCCCTCCACGCTAACTTGGCTGCCCACGGTGGGAAGTGGGCTGCCTTGGGAGAGTTTGTGCAGTGAAAGGGGAGCGCCGTAGTGCTGGAGCGTTTCACAAGCGCCGACTCTAGGTAGCGCACAGGGACTGGGGGACGGCAGTTTAGACAGCATGCCGATATAGTTGTGGTGTGGCCAGAGATCTCCCTTGTTAGGTGTATGGTTTCCTGGAGCAACACTCATTGCCACCTACGACTGTCTTGAGGGAGGAGCAGCAGTTGGAGCAAACATGACGCTCCCACTGAGACAGCTGAGATGAAAGTGAACCCAGTGACGAAGACGGAGAGCACGGGAAGGGGAAGGCAGCGGCTCGGGCTTGAGCAGGATCAGAACCTTCTTCGAGGTCTTCCACCTCCTTAAGAGGGACAGTGCTTGCTGATCCAGGGCTGGGGCTTGTTGGCCACTTCCCAGACACCCACTCAACCCAGGAGAGGTGCCAGGCAGTGAGGAGCCTGACACACAGGAAGAGACTGGCTTAGGGCCCAGCAACATGCTGAGAGTGGAGGGCTGGTAGAAGTCTGCCGGCAGAGCTCAGATTTCGGGGCCACTTGGAATCCCTGTCGGGACCCCAGAGGGTTAAGGGCGATGGGATATGGTGTTCGGGCCCCATCCTGAAAGGCCCTGGTGCTGTGTCCTTCCATGATATCAACCTTTAAAATAGGAGGGAGTCCTGGGGGTTCATTTGTACGACGACACAGGGAAGGGCGGGGCAGCGCAAGGCACAGGCCATTTATTGGCCTGGTGAGGAATGAAGGAGGCAGCTTGCAGCGAAGAGGCAGAGTCAGCACTGGGTCTCCTCAAAGTCCACACGCCTCTCCTGAGGTAAGCCGCGGGGTGCCTGTAGGCCTCGTGGCCCAGGCAGGGCCAGCACCTGCAACCCAGAAGGCAGAAGAGAGGAGGAAAATACAAATGCCAGGAAGGAGGTGACAGTTGTGGGGGTGAAGTCTTGGGAGTGCAGGAAGGCCACGTCTTTGAGGTTAGGAAACGGGGTTTTGGCAAACCAGCGCTCTCTGTGGGGCTGTGAAGCCCCTTCTTGTGCTCTCTGGAAGGATGTCCTGGCGGGGAGAGGGATTTGCCGGCTGGCTAGTCAGCATCTTTCTTACCCTGATTTGCAACTCTACTGGGCTCACTTGTCAAAGGGAGTGACAGGTACTGAGCATTTTTGTTCATGGAGAGGCCTTCTGCTTTTTGAAAGTGTCCTGATTTTCTTTCTACTTGGGCGAGGGCAGGAGCTCATGGGATCCAATCTGTAGAGCATGGTGTTGAGCCTCTGGAAGGTCAGGCCTTCTTTAGAGTCCTTTAAGGAGGGGAGGGGAAGCAAACTGGCACAGAGGGTTTGCTGTGGGCCTCCGTGTTTTCAGTCCTGCCGCCTCTGTTGATGCTGGACAGGTTGGCAGGGTCCCGGAGGAGTCTACGGGTTCCCGCACCTGCCTCTGTAGCTCTGTGGGGTGGTTGGTCCCTCCCTGAGGTCAGCGCTGACAAGTGACATGCAGACTGCCTGCCGGTCCACTTGTCTGTGTCAGCACAGGCGTTTGTGGGACTCTGCCTGACCACGGTGTTGCCAACCTGTGTGTGTGAAGGGCCATCTTGTAAATCTCTCAGGTTTGTGACCTTTGCCCTGTCACAGCAACTCAGCTCTGTCGCTATAGCCGAAGAAAGGCCATAGTCAGGATGTCAACATTTTACTTAGGAAAACAAGTAGTCAACCCCTGCCTTCAAGTGTAATTACTCATCCTCTTGGCTTGTGACTGGAAACTTCCAGCTGCTGCCTGGACCCATTCATTTCCTACAACTTTCTGAGCATCTTGTCTGTGAGCCCTGTGGATGAGAAAGTTGCTGGCTCTGCCCATAGGAGCTCAGGTTTAAGAGAAAAGTGGGCACTGGCAGGCAAGCGCCAGTGGCTCAGGGAGGGCGAATCGGGGCCCTTGGAAGAGGCAGCACTGGAGAGGGGACATGGGCCCTGGGCTGGGCGGGGCGCGTGGGAAGTTGTGCTCTTAGGGACAAGGGCGTGATCCCAGGGCGTGTTGGGAGTGACAGTCTGGTCCTGAGAGACCGGGGCTGCTGACCACTGGCAGCTTTCAGTTTAGTCTGGACTTTTTAGCTCAGAATTGGATGGTTTTTCTGGCACTGGCTTTAGTGCGCCAGTGAGTACCAAAACCTTGGCATGACTGAGCCTGACAGGATCCTTCATCTTTAGATGTTTTCTGTCTTGCTCTCCTAAAGACCACTATAAACAGCAAGACAAATGCAGCATCCTCTCAGATCTTAGTGTCAGCCTGGGCTTTGGTATGCAAGAGGAAGATGCTCCGGACCTGCTCCAGGCCAGGCCTGACGTGAGGCAGACAGGATACCTACCGAAAGGTGCTCAGTGTAGTTGAGGGAAAAAACCCACAACTGTGAACTCCTCAGGGCTTTGTACTCGCTGCAGTACCGTCCCTGCCTAGGAGGGAGCTCCCGGTTGCTGATCACCAGCGAGGAGTCGGAGGGGCCCCCACCATGCCTGTTAGGTGCGCACAGCAGGTGGTGACACAGGTACTGTGCAAAGAAGTCCTTGTCCTGCAGAAGCTCTTTCCACGGGCTGGATTGGACAAGGGGAAGTGCTGTCAGGGGACTGGCTGGCTTCATGCGGCTCCCAAAGTGGCTCTGGTGGGGCCCTGCTTGCACCAGGTCCCATGGGCCTGTGGACAGGCTGGCCTTTGGGGACCAAGTCTGCAAGTGACGGTGCTGCCCAGAACAGCTGGGCAGGTGGCAGCAGCCTTGGGCAGGAGCTCGCCGAGCCCTTTCCTGGGGCTGTGGGTGCTTGCGCTGGACAGTGAGGTTGGGCTTGTCGCCTCAGAGGTGGTGGTCTCCTTGTGTTTCTAGAGGTGTTTCCGTTCTCATGGTTGGGGCCTGGGCTGCCTGTGCTGCCAGATGTGGCTCCTCGTCAGGAAACTTGGGCCTTACCCTGGCTTTTGTGTCAGAAGCGCAGGCATTGTGGCGCATGAGCCTGCCAGGCCCCCACTCTCTGGCAGCCATGCTGACATCACCCTTGTGTCTGTTTAGGGACACAGGTGATCCGGAAGTTCTTTGATGTTACCCTAAGCAGTGCTGCTGCAGTGGGTCTTACTGTCACGGGGGTGAGTCCAGGTCAGGGACAGGGGCCGTAGGGAACTGAGAACGACTCTTACGAAGCCTCCCTCCCCCGGAGTCTAGACAGTGTCCTGATGTGTCAGTTCCCTTTCCACACGGCTATGCCTCCACCCCTCTGGGCTGAGTGCCGCCCCTCCTCACAACACCCCTGGGGCTGAAGGGGTCTGGGCTGCTTTGTGGGCACTCCCACGCTGCTCCTCCCCGCCTGCCAGCGCCTCTTGCCAGCTCCCTCAGGCCATAGTGCTCCCGCCTCTGTGGAGATGGCAGCCAGCACGAGGCCTGCCGTGGAGTTTAGCCAGGCAAACCCAGGTTCCAAAAATACCTCTCCTCTCCAACAGCTGTCTGCTGCACCCCTTTCTGGGCTCACACCCTCCCCCTGCTTGGCAGAAGGGACACTGAGTGGTGCTTGTTCCTCAGCACGGTAAGGCCGCTCAGTGACCACGATTGCCCCCTCCCCTGGAAGAGAGACTCAGATGGCTGGTGCCCTCCTGCCTGCCTCTCCTGGAGCTGGCTCTGGCTGTCTTGTGAGCGGTCTCCAGCCTAGAGGTGGACTTCCTTTCTCAGGGGTGGGGGAATCTCCCATCTGGTACTCTGAGTCCCGGCACCTTCCGCGGCAAACTTCACGGTCTTTAGCCTTTGGCAGCACTTCTGCTGTTTTCCCCAAAGGAGCTTTTCACTCCGTCCTTTCGCCCAGCACCTCTCACCAGGGCCCTGAGCTGAGCCTTTGGTCTCTGCATGGCTGGTGGGGGCCCAGCCACAGCTGCCCTAGAGGTAGCCCTGATTAGGGCGAGCATTTCCGGTAGCCTGATGGCCCTGGTCCCCAGGGTGCTCGTTGCAGGAGCTGGCATGCATCCTGGTCCATCTGCCCAGTAGCTCCTGCCGCGGTCTGGTAGGCCCTGCTGCTGTTCACAGTCAGGCAGCCTCCTCCTCGAGCCTGGAAGGAGGCAGGAGCTAGCCTGTCCAAGACCAGCAGTTCTGGGCTCGTCCCAAAGGGAGCTTCGCTCAGCCTCAGTCCTTCCTCAGCCCCCAGGAGGCAGGGAGGAGGCTGAGCGTAGTTGTGAGCGGAACACCTTTCCCTGCAGCGAGGTGTGCACACAACACTGGGCTCCTGGCTGCTCACTCCGGTTTGGTGATGGCCAAGTTTTTAGCAATCTAGTTAAGATCTCTCTCTGTACCTATTTACTATGTTTTCTCTGAATACACAAGTGTAAATAGTATAATTTGCAGTGCAAAATCCTTGGCAATAACTCTATGTTGTGCATTATGTTAAAAACACACTGGAAAGCGTGGCCACCGTGGACTGTCATTCCCCTCTGGGGCAGTGATTACATGTGGGACTCTGAACTTTAAACCTGCAGCGTGGTCGAAGCAGCAGCGTGCATGTGTGGACTGGCACCAGCACCTCGCCAAGACATGCCTGGCCTTCCCCACAGGGACTCTGCCACCCCGACGCCCACAGTGGCTCCTCCGTGCTGGACGCTGCTGGAGACTGACCTTCCTGTCTGGCTGCTGCAGTTTGTCTGTAATGCCCTGACATGTTACATTTTCCGCATTTGGATGAATAAAAATAAAAGCTTCTGTCTCTAAACAGCAAAGGGCTAGGCTGTTGTTTGCAGGAATTGCTCTGGTGCAGTGAAGGCTGCCCCGGGGAGACCTTCGCAGCTCAGTGCATGTTGTGGGGGTCTGAAGTCTCCTGGTGATGGCCAGCGGTGCCAGGGCCTGTGTCCTGTTCTTAAAACTCTACTCGGCTGATGGTGTGGGGAGTTCACTCATCCTGGAACTCCAGCTGGCACATAGCACGGTGGTAAGTTGTTTGTGAATTTGAGCTTTAGAATTGACTAGTTTTTCACACACCTCACTCACCCCTCACAGTGATTCCCCAGGGTTGACCTGGCCCAGTTTGTCCACACCGAGGGCTGAGGATAAAGGGAGAGTGGAGCTTCAAAATGGCGGCAGCAGCTTGAATCCAGAACTGACACTCTTCATCTGGCTGTCCCCCATCAACTGCCCCAGGAACCAAGGACCAGCCTCAGGCCCTGGAGGACAAAGGTGTGGGCAGTGGTTTTAGGGGGAACCAGGCCAGACCCCCCTGCCCTTCAGGTAAGTGGGGAGCTTCATGGACAAAACATAGTATTTCGTTTCTTTGGGACTCAGTTTCTTCTGGCATAGCATCGATGGGTTTATCGCCATGTGAGAGATGAATGAGGCACTCAGCCCACTGCTGTTTCCTGCCCAAGTTTGCCCTCTGGAAGGGGAGCCAGGCTTGTCCATGACTGGCACAAGGAACAGCTCATGGAGCTGAACTGGGACCAGAGGGAGCGAGCAACACTGTCTCTTGCTGTTGACCCTAGAAGAGACAGTGATACACTGATAGGGAATGCTGACCCCTCAGATGGTGGCTCATGGGAAGGCTTCTCCTGTGCCCCACAATTCTGGGAACCGTCACTTAACTCGCAGGGGTCTGACGACTATAGAGGGGAGAGGACCCACGAGAGGCGTAGGCCCCACACAGCGAAGAACTCCAGTGACTTTGTGCCGGGAGGGAGAGTGGGTTAGCACCCTGGGGCCAGGGGCAGGTACCGTAATGGAGTCAGCATCCCCTGGTGTTCCCCATGTCGGGATCAGGCTTGTGAGCATAAGCTGAGAGGGCAGCAGCTCTTCTGGCCCCACTTCTCTCTGCTCAGAGCTGGGAGTGGGATCCCAGCCACCCCCAGAAGAAGATGGCAGCATTTCTGGGTGCTTGCCACCTCCTTTTCCCTGAGAGCTTTTTTTTTTTTTCAAGGTTCTGGGTATCAGCTTGGGTTGTGTGGGGCCGGTCACAGCAGCACCCGGACGTGTGTCCCTGCTGCATGGCAGGGCTCCTTAACCCCCCTCCCCCAACACACACACGTGTGTGCTTAGCTCTACTGCTTCCCGCCGGCACCCAATCAAGAGCCTTTTCTGAACCGGGCTTGTGGGAGCTTCCTCATGGTGACACTGTGCTATACTGGCACCTACGGGGTGCAGCATGCTGGATGCACCGGCCACAATGTGGACAGTGAAGCTGCTTCCCGCGTGGCTCCCTCGTCTCACCAGGGTTTGACTTTCCCCACTCCTCCTATCTGTCTTCCAGGACCAAGTTCTTAAGTACTTTGGTTTAAGACTCTCCCCTGGTTCCCTTCCTTCGTCTCCGGAGCCTAGATATCCCCAGCAGCCAGGTCCGTGTGCGGCTCCCCCGAGCACCTCAACACTTCTGCCAGGGATGACACCTGCCCAGGAGCGTCGTGGCCTGTACAGGGAGGGGGGGCAGTTGTGTGTGAAAGCAGGGTGGCACAGGCCTGGGAGCCGCCATGAAGAAATTGGTACATCTACCTGGGCAGGGCACTGCCTCTCGGCGTTGTCCCGACTCATTTGCTTCCTGGAAGATTACGTAAGCCTTGAACCGCACACGGTTACCTTAGCAACTGAGTCTCCAAGGGGGGGGCGACGCTGCCACACCCACCTGCCAGGGGGCGGGGAACACGTCACGATAAAGCCAGTGATGTTTGTACCAAAATATTTAATGAATATGCTGTTAAAATAAAACCAACAAAAGAAATAGTAATACAATTTTACTGGTTTATATTTCATGAAGTCGACACACGGAAACTACCCTAGCACAAGGGCCACACACCGAGCTGGGAGGGGCTTACAGGTGTCTTGGTAACTGAACAAGAAAGACAAAGTGGAGGGCGGGTGGGGTCGCCACTCGTGTGTCCCCCTCGTCGACGACCTCAGCGAGCGTTAGTACAGTCACGGGGGAGAGGCGAAACCACCCACGTGTCTATTTACAACCCGGCCTCGGACCAGCTATCCCCACGCGCGGCCGAGGTGATGCGATCATCCATCTGCAAGAGCGCCTGTCGCTACATAGCATAAATTAAAGGTTTAAAGGTGCCGAAACCCCATTCCAGAGTGTTGAAGTGAGAACATGCCCGCCTGAGTGGGCGGCTCACAGCACAGCCTCACCTTCACACCACCGGACGCGGCCCCATGTGCAGAGCCACTGGGAACCGTGAGGGGAGGGTGTTCACGTAACAGCAAAGCACACACGGCCGGCAGAAACCAAGTGCCACATGAGCACAAACCCACTTATGCAGGTCAGTCCTCGTTGGGGGTTTCAACACTGCCGAGTGCACTGGGGTATTTATATACACGTATGTACACACACAACACGGGACGGAAAGTAGGGTCTGTCCACGTTATGATCGACCCAGTCTTACGGTCAGTCGAGTCACCCTGTCAGTCAATTTGGCAGCTACCACTAAAAAAACAGGAACAGTAAGAGTTGCATAGAATTGACCAGGAACGCGAGAAATGCCAAACCAAAGCCTGATGCCTCGGACACAGAATCAGACTGGGTGGCCTCAACGGCAACCATGGGACCCTCCATCTCCAACAAAGTGCTTCTGCATATCTACCTTGGGGCCCTCTGCCGGCACGGAGACAGTAAGAATTATTAGAATTCCTGCACCCCTTCCCCCTCCCCCTATATATATTATATATATATAATATGTATATTTAAAAAAAAGATTAAAGGTTTAGAAAAAAACCAACAGCCTGAAAGATCCCCAAATTCGGACAATGCCCACTCAGCCTGTGGGCTGGGAGCCGTGGTGACCTCCCCTGGGAAGCAGCCTGGGAGGTCACGCGAGCAGTGGTGTTCTGAGCGTGTCCGGAGCCGCGGCGGGAGCAGGCTGTCGTGTCAGTAGTCGGGGGCCGCCGCCTCCGCCCAGCGACCTACCGGCACGCCTCTCGGTCTGACGCGCCGCGTTCTGTCCCGGACACGTCTCTCAGAATCACACATCTGGCCAAAGAAGGCAACCAAAGGTGTCGTGTTTTCTGATGATGCCTAGAGGCAGCAGCGCGCTCAGCAGGTTTCCTTCCCTTGCACCCCAGTGGCCGTCTTTATGGAGCTCAGTGTTCGGTTAAACCACGTCTTCTTGGCCGCCTGCACCTCGTTTAGGGCGAGGCCTAGGTGGTGCTCCAAGTCCTGCAAGGGGAACAACATGCATGAAGATGCCGGGCCAACACAAGGACTCGGTCTGGAGAGACGGCGGAAACTTCCCAGGCTCCACTAGCATAGAAAGATCTGGAATGTCTTAAATTGGATCTTTTTTTAGTTAAGACCTCATTTCTTGCCCAGTTTATTAAAAAACAGCCTCCCCTCAGGCCCGCCCCTGCTGGCGCGGCGAGTCAGGACGCGGCACTGCAGGCTGGCCACGGCCACTCAGTGTGAGTCCGATCCCCGCCCCGCAGGTGACAGCACAGCAGACCTCTCCTGACCCACCTGCTGCTCCCCGCTCTGTCTCTGGGGAATCCTCTCACTGTCCCTGCACCTCTGGCCTGTACCCCAGCTCTGTATTGTAAAGAGAGGAATTTTTCTAAAAAGCCTCCCGTCAGCCTACAGCTGCACACCAGGCAGACAGAGCTAATGCCCCAGCTGAGGCATCATTCATCCATTTCCAGCAAGAATCTCCAGGTGAGACTTCCCGGCACAGCACTGGACGCTTCGGCTGGGGCCCACCTCTGCCCCGACCTCGCCGGCAGCTCTCCCGCTGTGCTGCAGCGTGTGCCACGCTGCTTGTTCTCTGACCACGGCCTGTCCTGCTGCCTTGGGGGCCCCTTCCCAGATGTGCTGGACGCCACACAGCCACACCCTAGCTCGGCAGCCCAGCATCTGGTGCTGGGCACGAGGACACGGACCTAGGCTCTGTTGCGTCGCCCTACATTTGGTTCTTCCCCAGGACTAGGGCCTCCCCAGGGCTTGCTCAGTTGCGCTGTGGAGAGAATTATCAATGTGGTGGTATGAAAGACAACCAAGAAAGTTTCAATTTCATCTGGAATGAAGGCTCAGAGAGGCGGTTCAGTGGCAAAGCCGGGACATGGGCCAGCAGGCAGAGGGCACCCTGGCCAGCGCGCCTTCTCCGAGGGGCACTGGACCGCCGGGCGGGCCTTCGCGCCACAGGCACACGCAGCCCGAGGGGCAGAGGTGACCGCACCCCGCTGGTCAGGGGTGGGTTGTGCAGCTGTGAGCACAAAGCCTCTTTTTCCTATTCCACTAGAAAGATCTCAAGGTCGACAGGGAAGTCTCCGGGACAAGTGCAACCCTCAGAACAGGCCAAATACTGATCCAACTGCCAGTGGCAGATGACAAGCAATGGGCTCCTTCCCGTGAAGCTCACGGCCAAAGTTTAAAAAGGAAGAAAACCCACATCTGAAGGCCGTTTCTGGGGTTTCCAGTCTTCCATGCCCACGCTTGGGTCTGAGCCCCAGGGTGCGGAGCACAGAGGCGGTGCCAGGGGAAGGGTTGCGGGAGGGGTGTGTGGGGCAGGCGGCCTGGTTACCTGGATCTTACACTCAGCCTCCACCAACTGAAGCTTGGTTTGGGCCAGTTCCAGCTCCATCTCTCTCAGCTGGTTCTTGAGTGTCTCCTTCTCCTCATCGGTGTCCTCACCTGACACTTCCTCAGCTGAGCTGATGCCCTTGATCCGCCCTTCTTTGTTGAAAAATTCCCTGCAACGCTCACAGTCGTCCACTTTTTGCTGCAATTGAATGGCAGATGTGAAGAGGCAAAGAGGAGAAATGGCCCTTTAGGAAAGTGTGAGCCGCCTCAAAGTCTTTGGAAGCATTCTCCTAGCGTGCGGGAGCTGGGGCAGTGTCTATGGGGTGGTCCCCACTGGGGCTGCATCTTCAAAGGAAGATGCCGCTGACTTACGCTCCTCCAGAAAAAATTCTGCCAGTTAAGCCGTCAACTTATTTAACATGTCCTGTTTTCAAAGATGCAAACGTAAAATGAAAAAATGCACAAGTGATATTATTAAAGTAAGAAGAAAACAGACTGAAAGCTGTCTGTAAATTGTTAATGAAGGTGCTCATGTCAGTGGCGGATAACATAAGGGGGTTTTTTCTTTTCCAATGAACGTTGGAAAAAAAGGCTTCGGTTAAAAGACCAAAACTGCTGGTGGAGCCACTAGCTACATCCTCTTCTGCTCAGGGTAAGTGTGTTGTGTGGACGTGGCCGTGCGCTCAGACTCGCCTCTTTCAGTGACTCACTCACCTTTGTAAGATCACACCAGGATTCTGTTAACTCCCTTTTTAAAAACATCAAGTTACTGAAGCCCCCAAATTGGCAACATAATGTTAAAAGATGTACCCATTATTTGGCCAGAGGAATTCAACTGGGGTGGACAGGGATGAATGTCCCTGTGGTTCAGAAGGACTGGGGAGCTGGGCTCCCCCTTCTCAACCCGAGCAGAGCCTGCAGGCTGCCCCGGGCCCAGCAGGGGCTGCTGCTTCCCCGCCTGCCACACCGGCGCCAGGGCACCCCAGGTGTTCACCGCCGGGTCGCCAGAGGAGGGTGCCTGCCACTCTGAGGGCAAATGGGCTTGTACCTGAGGGCTGGAGCTGGAGCCTCAGGTCTGCTTTGTCGGCTCCTCCAGTGTGGGCTGGGGATGCCTGAACGGCCCCGACACTGGCCTTACCAGGCATGCTGGCCTCTCAGGAAATCAAAACAGGTGCCCCCCACCCCCCGTCCCCGGCCCACTGCACTGAGTACAGCCAGACACACGGTGTCAGACCGCTGGAAGCTGGACAACTTACCCGAATTTTCTCAATTTCCACTTTATTAGCCGTCTGCTGCTTCTCTAATCTTTCACTCAACTGAGAACAAATCTAAAGAAACCAATGACATAAAGTGACAGTCACTTCTGCCAGGCCACCACCTGCATGACTTGGGTGGGACCCAGGACGAATTCCACAGGAGACATGTGGTGCTGGGCAGGGGCGTGGACCTGGCAACTGCCCCGCCACCCCCTCAAGCGCTATGTGTCTGAACACCTGCCAGACCCACCCACCAGCAAGAGACCCCGTGCAGAAGAGCAAGACCTGGTGGTCAGTCATGTCCTGAAACCCAACCGCCAGGTCTCGAGAGAGCCCAGGTGCGGAACCTGAAATGCCCCAGGAGGGCGAGGGTCCGACCCAACCGCTCTCTGCTCCTCGGCCCTCGCGACCTCACACTCCCCTCTGGCCACCAGC